TCGTTTTTTTTTTATTATGTTTTCGTAATTGTGGCAGGCCAAAATCGTAATTGCGATTAAAATACGATTAATTGCACAGCCCTAGTTCCTACACTACTTTTTAAAGTCAGTCAGACCTCTTCGAACTAATGTGTCAGAATTAATATATTGCATTTTCAAAAGTTGAAGATTGCAGGTTTTAAGATAATTTCTACAATTCCCTTTTTTTTTGTGTCCCTCTGACTTTAAGTTAACCAACTTGGTATTGTCTCCTTTTCTGTCCAGAACTGAAGATGAGCAGGTAGCCAACACCATGGACAAGCTGTTTGTGAGTTTCGGGCTAGAGATCCTGAAGAAGGTGCCAGGCAGAGTCTCCACTGAGGTGGATGCCAGGTTAGTGCAAACATGTCACAAGGGGGTTCCCAAATGTCAATTGTACTTTCAAAGTAACACTTTGAGGGAGGCCTAAAGTGCGTGCATACATCAGGTAATTCGTGACCATGTTGTTTCTTACGTCATCACTCTAATGTGAAAAACGTGTTTACTTTTATTTCATGTTGACTTTCTTGGAGGATTATAGGTAATCCCTTTACAATAAAATGCTGTCCACTGGTATATCGTTGCACAATATAGAATAGATAGAATAGAATTGGGAGGGATGAAACCCTCTTTAATGGTCACACATGCAGAGCACACAGCGCACACAGTGAATTTGTTCTCTGCTTTTAACCCATCCTAGTACCAGGAGTCTAGTACTAGGAGGAGAATACTTCAATTGTCCCTCATAACATTATATTTTCATTATAAATAAATCATTTCTGACCCCTCCCACCCAGCTCACCATGTCTTCCAACTTCTGCCCTCAGGGAGGCGCTACAGGTCACTGTCCACCAAAACCACCCGCTTCAAAAACAGCTTCTTCCCCTTTGCAATACGGACACTAAATGGACTCTAAATAACCCCAATGAACAATCACAAGCCACCACACCTTGAACTTTATGTATATATGTCATGATATATGTCTTTGCCCTGTGCTGTGTGTTGTACTTTTTATTGTCAGTTTATTGTATGTTGAATTGTATGGAACAAGCTGTAATAATCTGCACTGAACACGAATTCCACCAGCCTGGCTGTGTGGTCATTAAAGATTCTAATCTAATCTAATATTTCATGTCTTTAAATTAAAATCAGTCTGCATCCGCATTACTGATCAATAATTGGTAAAATCTTAGTCATGTTTTCCTTGAGGAAAAACATTTGCTTGGAGAACTTGTGTGGTACCTTTTGCAGCACAACCTATAATACATTCCTTAATGCTGATTTGAGCAAATGCAGTCAAATTTAGATGGCATTTATAAAGCACATTCACACTCAATGCCATGTTAGACAATGGGCTAACCGTTTGGAGCCAGGGATCAAACCTCCCCTCCGAGCCACTGCTGTATGTTCAATATATTATGACTATTCAATTATTAATGGCTGTATCTTTCTCTTTATCTAACAGATTATCTTTCGATAAAGAGGAAATGCTTGCCAAAGCCCTGAGGATCATCGCTCTCTACGAAGAAGCAGGCATCGGCAAGGAGCGTGTGCTCATCAAGCTGTCGTCCACATGGGAGGGGATCCAGGCCGGCAGGTGAGCGTGAAATGTTAACTATGTTAGAATAGAAGAATAGAATTGGGAGGGATGAAACCCTCTTTAATGGTCACACATGCAGAGCACACAGCACACACAGTGAAATTTGGCCTCTGCTTTTAACCCATCCTAGTACCAGGAGTCTAGTACTAGGAGCAGTGGGCAGCTATTGTACAGCTCCCGGGGAGCAATGGGAGTGAGGGGGGAAGGGGGGTGTCCGGTGCCTTGCTCAAGGGCACCACGGCAGGGCAGGAGGTGAACTGGGACCTCTCCAAGTAGAAGTCCACACTCCATATTTAGGTCTGGTCGGGGACTTGAACCAGCGACCCTACGGCTCCCAGTCCAAGCCCCTACTGACTGAGCCACTGCCGGACACTTGTTCGCCTACCACTTGTATTGTCCGTCTCAGTTTACTGTGTTTTACTAATGTATGATGTTAAAAGGTTTTTATAATGTTTAGGTACGCTAACCAATTTAATTCTCCTCTAACAAAAAGTTTATTAGAATAAAGAAAAAGAAACCCAAATAACACATACAAAATTATAATAAGTGCTTATACAAACATATTAAGCAAGCCCCCAAATACAGCACTAAACTGCGAGGCATCTTTTATTTGTTTGCATAGTGGTGTAAACCTGTATCTCTATTAACTGCACTTTCTCAATTTGATTGCACATGTTTAACCCTTTAATTTCTCTTAACAAAAAGACGGCAGCATAATCAAACCATAGTCTCATGTTTTCATATTCTGGTTGAAATGTCAGGCAAAGAAAGAATGCATGACTGCTTGTGACAGGTTTTCCTGAGTGTATTTTTTATTTTCTGTGCAGGGAGCTGGAGGAGAAGCACGGTGTTCACTGCAACATGACCCTGCTGTTCTCCTTTGCTCAGGCTGTGGCCTGTGCAGAAGCAAAGGTCACGCTCATATCACCCTTCGTGGGGCGCATCCTCGACTGGCACAAGGAGAGTACAGGCCGCAAGAGCTACGAGCCACAGGAAGACCCAGGTAACAAAGGCTGTCCTCAGTGTATGAACGTTGCCTTCAAGTGAAAATATGTCAAAGGTGCACCGAGTTTTGAAGCAATTCTTTGTTTAAGCTGTGGAATTACAACTTTTGTGTCATGTGACGCTTTGGTTCCGAGAAAGAGGCATCTGTAAATCAGTGTATAATATTTTTGAGGGAAATCAACTTCACAGTCTAAACTCTTTAAATGCTCTTTTTTTAATCATTAGAAATGCGAGTTAATTTCCCTTTTCCATTTATTTGACTGAGCCAATCAGTTGTTAGAGTTAAATCAAGTCATCAGATTTTTGACTGTTATGGGAATCCTGATGGTGCACAGAAGTACATCGCTTCACCGCCATGTAGGATCTTATCAAAAAAACAAAGCAAAAGGAGGAACAGCAGAATTAAAATAGTATTCCTGAGGTAACATCCTTCTGTTTTAAACTTCGAATAGGCTGGACTTTACTTTGAGGAACTGCTCATTAAGTCTGACACCACAGGTGCTGGCATGTGTACAATCTGATGAATTTGAGCTTTAAAATGTTCTCTCTTTTTCTTCCCTAGGTGTACTGAGTGTGACCAAGATTTTTAACTATTACAAGAAGTTTGGCTACAGCACTGTGGTGATGGGCGCCTCCTTCAGGAACACGGGGCAGGTGAAGGCCCTGGCAGGCTGCGATCTGCTCACCATCTCCCCCAGCCTGCTGGCAGAGCTCAGCCAGGACCACAGCACCGTCACAGAGATGCTCAAAGTGGACAAAGGTACTGTCTGGGGTCCAAAGGCTGCCTCTGCTAGATGCTGCTATTATCGTTACCCAGCTTTATTTTCATTGTGCATGGACATTCAGGAAACTATTGCAGTCTATTTTGGGGTTCTGGCCACTGCAGCTGTTATACCTATTTCTTTAAAACAAATAATAAAATGGAAGTATCAAAAAAGTCGACTTCTACTTCAAAATGTGCAGCTTTACTTTTGTTATTATGAAATACATATTTTCATGACGGCTTCTTTGTACTGGCTGCACCCTGTGTTCATGAAAATAATGGTGCACTGACACCTGCTATTAAAAAGTCTAGCCTGTATGTCATCCTTTTGTCTAGCAGGATAATGGTGTTATTCTCAAAGAGTCATCTCCAAACACTGAGACGAGATGGAATTCAAAATGTTTCACATGAGGCGCCAACGGCTTAATCTTAGATACAGAAATGTTTGACTCTGATGGTTTGTTTGCAGCAAAGGCCTCTGATCTGGAGAAGATCCACCTGGATGAGAAGGAGTACCGCTGGCAGCACAACGAGGACCAGATGGCCACGGAGAAACTGTCCGACGGCATTCGCAAGTTTGCTGCTGACGCCATCAAGCTGGAGACCATGATCAAAGTACGGTTTTGAAGGTTTTTTTGCCAAATGTGTACAAGCTAACTGTCTTAAATATGATCGACATAGAAACTGTATAGAAATTATTTATTCATTTTTAAAGGTGTTTGACGAGCTTTGTTTCCATTCTTTGATTCTTTTTTTATCACAGGAGAAAATGCTCAATGTCAAAAACGGGAAGTGATGGAGAGATGTGACGTCGCATTGACAGGAAGTATAGGAGTGAGCAGAGTGGCTTCTTTATTTCCAACTACCTGAGGGAAGGTCCAGAGCACCAGAAGGCCTTCACTCTCCTCATCTGACCAACTCCAGTCTGGGATTAACTGACCAAACATTATCAATGCTAATGTGGGTGTGGAGTTACTGTAAAATAGTCTAGAATTTACTCCAAATTTGAGCAGAAAGGGAAACACTTTGTAGAACAAATGTCTTAATGAGTCTCTTTTAGTAAAGTCTTGTGACTACTAGAAAGGACCCTGAGCACTTTTTTTGCCAGGAATGGACCACAGTTTTGCTATCATGACCATTTGGACCAAGTTGAGGGCAGAAGATAAAGACCAATGTACCATCATTCCTCACAAAATGATATTTTGCTCTTTCAATAAATAAAAAAAGTGTCCCTCAATACAGTTTTGTTTTTTGGTTGCTGTCTCTCCGCCAAGGAGGTTATGTGTTTGGCTTGTCATTTGTTTGTTTGCCTGCAGGATTGCGAAAAAACTTCCAGAAGAAGTGGGGTAGCGTGAGCCAATGAAGAACACATTAAATGTTGCCGCAGATCTGATTCACCGGGCTGATGCACCTTAATATTTACTAATGGAAACGGCCTTTGTGCAAATCTGAGTTACAGCAGTTGGCACACACAGACAAAAGAATAACTGCATGGTATTTTTACTGGATGCCGATCAGCTGAGGCAACCTGTGGATGTTATTAACATTTTTGTCAATCCCTCCTGACACGCAACTTGAGTTGTGAGTCTTTTACCGTCTCTGGTCGAGCCAGTTGAACTCCATTCTGTCCATGCACCTATTTAGCTGAGCTCCTCCAGACTGTAATAACAAGAACACATTTCCTGTATGCTCTGAAGGGAGACACAACTTCACTATTAAGGTGGGACTTCAATGCATTTGTGTGAAGAGGCTTGAGGTAATGATTAATTCACTTTTTTTTGGACATGTTTGATTTCCTTTTGTTTGCTGTGTTTTGTGTTAATAACATGAAGGTTGTGGAGATTTCACATTTCTAGTTTTAGCAACAAAGAAGTTAGAATTGCTTATAATTTATGGATTATGAGTTCTCTTTGTGTAGTACACAAATAATGAGGCGAACATTTTGAGAATAGGCAACAAACTTTAAAAAAGAGAAACAAGTTGTGGTTTTTTTTGGGAGAAAACTGAATAAGAGACTGATTCGGCACTGGTGTTATCCGGAAGTCTGTGTTATACACTTGGTTTTACATGTATCTTTAGAGATAAGAAATATACACAAAATACTTAAATATATGAATTAAAAGTAAACAAATTCCACCATGGAACATTTTGTTGAGAGCTCTGCACCTGACCGTTGGCCATGTTCCTTAAATGTGTCGATTCCCGATTTGAACCTTTTTTTTTAAATACATTGTTTAAGGAATCGAAAGTCAAAAACAGGCTGTGGTAACAAAGATATTCAAACAAGTGTTTATCAAAACATTGGATCATTTTAAAGTTTATAAAGAGAGGCTGTGTTCTGCTCAGAAGAAGAAAGAGAAACAAATATATACATAAAAGAAAGATTCTATCAAGATTTGATTGAATATTGAAACGTTTTGAAAGGGTAAACGTGGAGTATAATGACATCAATTTCTTAAAACAGATCCTAGATCCAAAACCATCTAAACAACCTAAATAAAAAGTAGTGATTGTTATATACAATCAGGGACAGATCAACAAGAAAAAAGGCCCCGGGCGAAAACATACAATGGGCCCCTAGTGTACCGTCATCAGTCTTCTAAAGTCAACAAAGATAAAATTTCAGTTCAAAAATTGCTCTGGGCTTGTATTCTAGAAATGTACATTTTTATGAAAATGTTACTTTTTTTTTATGGATCAAATCCCTATTATTACTCAAGACGGGTACAAAAAAAAAGACATATTATTCGTTAATATATATGAGTAAATCATAAACATTAAGCAAGGACAATAATTGTACAAACATAGCATAGCAATAGAAGAAGACACAACAAGAGGCAGTTAAACAAATATGATCAGTAAATAGTTTAAGAAGAGGAAACTCAATCAGAGAACTGAGTTTGCTCACCGATGGAAATGCAGACATTTGAAACTGACAAGGAATTTCAAACAAAATGAGACAATTGTAATAGAGATTGATAGCTGTGGTTGTATTTAGCATCTAGGATTTAAACCTTCAAATACCTCTTTGAACAACCAAAAGATATGACAATATAATAGAAATAAATGCTTGAAAAAGCCAAAAAAGAGGTCACAAATCCTTTCATAGTGGTGACACATTGTCTGTTTATGAGTTTCTGTATGTTTCTGTGTTTCTTTCCTAAATCTACTTCTGATAAGTAACTATAATTTACATGAGACTTAACGAAACACTTCAAAACATAACATTGTAAGATATCATTTTAAACAACAGACTTGCACAGAAGTTATTTTACAGTCACGTGTTTTTTGTGTCCTCCAATCATAAATGTCCATGTTTACGTCATTTAACAAGGCGGCCCATGCATTGTTTCATTATGCAAATAACTGCAGATTTGAGTAATATGTCGAGTTGTACAACCCTCAATTGGTTTTGTTTCCAACATCCTGGAGAAGGATAATAAAGAGATTAAGAAAGCTGTGAAGGAAGGAAATGTTGACACTTCAAAACAAACTATCTTCACTATTTGTATATGAATATATTTTTTTAAAAGAGAGAGTAGGTTTTATAAAAAAGAATGTAGGACTGCCAAGCCTTTGAAAATATCTCGAAATATAAAAAAACATTTTACAAGGATATTTAAAAATAATATGACAAACTATTAATATGTTTTTTAAAGGTTACTCTTTCAAATTTGTGTTCCAATTAAATAACTCCCTGACGGATTTCATTCCACAATGATGTCTAAAATGTCTTATATAATATTGTGCCTATGTTTGTGAGAATATTGCGTAATCAGGCCTCAGTGCATATCATTCAGTGCACACACCATACCATGAATGCAGAGCTACATCCACATTAGTCAACCACCTCTCTCACACGTTTATTCCACGACAATTACTCAGTGACTCCATTACGTCACACCACAGTCCCTCTCAGACGCTGTAGGAAGGTTTCAGGACTCATTATGCTAGGTATGTGCACAAAAAGACGTGTTGTCCTTTACAGACAACATGATGATTCGAAATAGCAACTTTATGACCTATACTGAGACAGAGACATCCTAACCTTTCCGTCTGTGTTTCCCAGAGTCTCAGACTTCCTGTGTGACTGAGGAGCTGAAATGCTAGACAAATTCAAAGAGAGCGTCCTGCTGCAGGTCCTGACTCTGATCCTGCTCGGCCCGGCCTGCGAAGCCTCTTCTCTGGGCCTGACGGTCCATGTTGAGCCCCTGGAAAGCGATGGAGGGAATACGGTGGGCAATGTTTTCTCTCCCCATGAACATTTTTATGTTACGATGTCTTGAAGTCCAAATGATTTGGCCCTTGTCACACATTTCTATATTTTTGAAATTATTATTATTTATTGACTTATTATTGAAGTAATCATTTCCTCTCCTCATCATTCTGTTATTTGTCCCTAAAAAACATACATTAACAGTGTTTTAAAACTATCCAAACAAGAAACTTTATAGGTATTGCTCACAATTTCTCTTGTGATTTTATTTCTCCACAATTCTAATATTGCTCAGAATAAGCATAGTATTAGAATGTTCTTAGCTGAATCCTATTCAAACGCTTAATTATTATTACTTAATTAATTTACAGAGGAGGAAAGTGTTTAAAAAAAGAATCCCTCAATCTTTCTTACTGACCCCCTACTTTTAAATTACATAGAGCTCAGCGTTTATTAAAGGCCTTTGTCTTTTTATCAGAAAAATTACTACTGTTCATTGATTTTATTTGGAGTACTGTTTATTGTGAAGATGAGACAGAGTCATTTTAATCTATTAATTTGTTATTAAATGGCCATATTAAAGGTGGGTTAGGTAATTTTGGAGAAACCAGCTCAAGATCGCTAGAATTTGAAAATACACAACCGGAAAAAAATCTGCCACTTCCTTACATAGCCCCTCCTCCAACACACACGAACGCGCACATGACCAATGAGGGCACGAGATAAGTTTGTGCACAGATGGAAGGCTGACAGGCAGGTAGGCCATCCAGTTATTTTAGCCGGGCCGGCTAAAATGATTGGTCGTGCTTTTTACAGTACTACGGCTTCCACAGATGACATTTTTTTATGTATTTATTGTCAAAGCATTTAATGTATTCAATGCTATCGGGATGTTAAGAGCATTCCATGGAATATAACAAAAAGTGTTTCTGAAATAAATTACATACCCCACCTTTAAACGAATTGTACTTTAGATAGAAAACAAAAGAATATACTAAAAAACACAAATCTGCCTTTCTTGGCTGCATTTTGTTGTGCAACCCTGGAAACAGATCCTATAATTATGTCTGCAAAGGTCTGTTCTTATTTATTTCTGTGAGTTATGTCAGGCTGGGCTCACCTTACAGGTTCTTAGTCCTTCACTCAGTCGTAAAAATCAGTCTCTTCCCCTAAAAGCCTAAAAGCCTTGTCATTGTGTCTCTTTTCCCCCTGCAGGTGCGGGCTCATTTCACCGCCATCGCTCCCAATCCCTGCCCAGCGCTGTCTGGACTGTGCTCTGACGGGGAGGAGGACTGTCTGGTCTACCCCACCTCGCTACCTTTGACTGGCACTAAACCAAACTCTGGCTGGTGCGTCCGCCAGTGGCAGAAGACCGTCCCCAGTGATTACAACGCCACCATAGATTTAGGGTATGATCCCTTCATTCACTGTCTGGACCTTTCACCTAAAGCAAAGCATCATTGTTTCATATTCATACATTTTCTTAATTGTTACCAAAACACATAATGAGCTGCTCCGTTTTTCATTTCTAGTGTTGCTTCTTGCTGTTGTGCAATGTTTTGGGGTTAAATGTGCTCATGAATTCAAGTTAACAGTTATTACACGGAGGACGTTCTTGTTCTATCATCTTTTGGGCCTTCTGTTTTGCATGTATACCTATTTGTTATAATGTTTAATATATATTATTTTCAATTAAATAGACTGTTTGGGTTAACAGAAGTAGGCCAATTTAGTATTGCCTCAAGAATAATATTAACAATAATACATGATATTTATATAATTTAATTTAATGTATAATATGTATGGAATTTATATATAATATAAATACATTCATGAAAACATACAAATGCTTTTACAGTCTTCATGCTGCATCATTATGTTGCTAATTATACAAACCATGTGAAAAGGTGATATATTTTTTAAACATTTGTAATATACATTTTATAACTTACTGTCACTCACTGTGATTTGTGTCTCATGACGTGTTTCCCCCACCATGGTTTCCATTGCTTTTATCTTACATTCCTGTTTGAGTCCTGCCTCGAGGTATATTCACTCTTTGTGGAACAACTCCTCCATGTTCTCAGTGGTACTGTTTTCTTCGTGTCATAGATCCAGGATGTTATTTGTTTTATTTAATAGGACTTTTGATGTGATGATATGTTCTGGTAATTCTCCATTCTTTTTCATAATTCCTTAGATCCAACACACAATTTTTTGTTTCGATAAAAGCAAGCCCAGTAATCAGAGCAAACAATGGAAAACTCAACCAACCGGCTTTTGTCGCTCTCCCTCCTCCGCTAAGGTATTACACGCACACACACACACACACACACACACACACACACACACACACCCACACACACACACACACACACACACACACACACACACACACACACACACACACACACACACACACACACACACACACACACACATACATACACACACACACACACACACACACACACACACACACACACACACTTTCAAAACTGCCTTTGCTGTAAGAAAACCTGACATTATCCTTCCCTGTGATGTAAATACTTTAGTGAATTGATTTAGGTTGCATAAAGTAGGAAAGGTACAGATACCACTGAAATATGAGAAAGAAAGTTACACATGATTGAACAAAGTCAAGGATGCTGGAAAGCTCTTACTTTTAATTAGATTTGTAAAGCTTTAAGAGGTTCTTTGTCGGCTTTTGTTAAAGGTAAAAAGCAATATAATGTTTCAACTGTAATTCAATGTCACGGGAGAGTGCCTGCCTACATTGTCTGACATTTCTTAGAGTTAACGTTAAGTAGACCAGACCAACTGCTGTAAATGTTACCGTTTGTGTGATAAAGGGCTGATTTTCTCTCGGTTTCAGGGCCCGTGTGGACTGCTCCCAACACTTCTCTCTGTCGGTGAAAGACCTGGACACGGACAGGGTGAGCTGTCGCTTTGCCCGCGCCGACCTGGGAGAGTGTGTCAGCTGCACTGAGCACTCCTTCATAGAGCTGGATAATGTGAGTCTTACTGTATACATGTCTCTGAAAAGTGCACATTCTGACACAATGCAATGTTTATCTTTACCTGCAGTAATAGAAGTGCTCAGATCTATTATTGAGTAGAAATAGAAAAACTCCTGAGTTACAAGAAAAAGTTCTGCATTTAAAGTAAAAATACAAATTGAAATCACTAAAAGTATTACATATTTAAGTGTAATAACCCCTTTAATGTTTCTTCTGATAAAGTGGGGCTAATTTAAAATAATGAATTTACTGCCGGGCTGTCTAATCCATTTACACTACATCTGAAATTATTTCTCAATTAAGCTATACTTTATATTAGTTAGGTAACTACAGCTGTCTAACAAATGAAGTACAATAGTTCCCTTAAAAATGTTGCAGAGTATAAGTATGACGTGGTATAATATAGAAATACTCCATTTAATTATCTCAAAACTATACTTAAGTAAATTACGTCACTTTTCACCACTGAATAACTGAGATATCATATGACAAGTCTTTCACAAATGTACTTTTTCATAGTATTTGATTGCTACTTGAATGTTGCATAATCAACAACTTCCATCTGGAAATACTACATTTCATGATGTCATTTATTTAACAGAGTAAATGCAAGTTGAAATTCACTGGAAAAGCAGCAGCAGGCCAGTATTTCATCTACCTGATGGCAGAGGACCGGATCGCTATCCCTAAAATAAGCGAAGTCATAGAGAACAAACCCCTCAGCGCGGTCCCTGTGCATCTCTCTCTCACTGGTGAGTCTGTCAGTCAAACAATGATGCCTATAAATGTCATGGAGCGAACATATGGACAAACCAAAAAAGGATTATAACCACAATGTTTAAACATAAAACTGCATGGATCAGGTGTAACTCTCATTGTCCTTTCTTCCAGTGGAGGAGTGGGCTTCCAGCTGCAGTGATGTACCCGTGGCAACAGGAGACACCCCAAATAAAGACTCCATGCTGTTTGTCCTGCCGTACCAGCAAGTGAATTTCACCACTGATTTCACCTCGAAGCTCGAGAGGTGCGTCCTTTAAAAAAAATGTATTCTATGTATATTACGAAATACTTAGACTCTGCTAAATGTGTATTTTATCCAGTGTGTATTTGCTTGTTTCAAACAGGAATTCATTCTGATTATTTCACATTTCATTTTATTAGAACATCTTAGAGTAAAGTTATTACTTAATATTTAGGTTTGATAGATTATCAATAATAAAATCAAAAAATAACTCATAATGATTAACAAATTGTCTGCTGTAAACCATTTTCGATATAACTACTCAGAAATGTCCTGATGATTATACCATTGTGCTTTATCACAGAGCAGAATTGTTTTAACATTAATACGACATTTACACAATTTCAAACACCTCCACTTGTAGCTCGTATTTCATTATCACCCACGTATTTGTCAGGGATGGAGGCTTTGAAGCCATTTTGTCACCAGTTTGTTGTTGGCTCTTTTGGCCAAGTGGGAGATGTCGAAGTTAACAGAATTCCTGATATTTTCAACACTAACCTATAACCTGGTGACAGTTCATGTTGAAGTGCATTTACTCAAGTTCTGTACGATTTTGAGGAACATGTTCTTGAATTACCATTTTATACACCTTTTATTTTTGCTTGCCATTATTTTACTTTTTACTCCACTACATTTATCTCTCTGCTTTAGTTAGTTTACACATTCAGATGATAAGCTAACCTTATAATATGCGCTTACTCTCTATATTTCCAGTGTTTCAGAGATAGCAGTTGTTGGCCCCCCTGAACTCTTCAGGGTAGGTTTCAAATCGGTCGGCTCTGTGGCAACCATGAACATGGCCTGGGTCCGCTCTGAAAACAAACTGGCCCGACTGTTGCCCATCTGCTTTGCTGTGAATACCAAGAGGTAAATTGTTCTGCTGCACAAAATCAGCAGAGGAAAAACGGAATTATATTTGTATTCTGGATGCACTATAGCACTGGCAATTAGTACTGTGTTATGTGTATTATAATGGACTACTTGTGTCCTACTTATTTTTAATAAGTATTTAACTACACACACATACTGACTAGAAACTTCTCGCAATAATTTAAAAGGCTGACAGCATAAAAAACAAATAACAACAAGTAAGAGTATGTGTGTGTGTGTGTGTAGAATTAGAAAAACATACAAGACCATTTTACTGGGATTGGCTTAAGTTTTGACGAACAAGAACCTAAGCCTTCTGAAGAATTTGGAAAATGTTATTATCATAATATATTATCATGTCTACACATAGTGCTTTCAAGTAAGATGAAATGAATGAAAAAAAGTGCACAAAACGCAGGTATTTTTGGTTGAAAGCATGTAACTACGAGGTGTCCTGCTGGCTTTACAGGTTAAGACCATAGACTGTATATATAAGGTTAAGACATGTCCTCAGTATGAGTCTTTTAATACTAGAAAAATAGTTTAAATTCCCCCCCCCCCCCCCCCCCCCCCCCCCCCCTCCTTTCCCTTTCTGTGCTGTCAACTTTGCAAAACATGTATTTCATACAATACAATATATCATTGAAATGCAAACCTGCTTTCACTTCTAGAAAATGTCCTTCTCTTGAATGGAGCATATTTAGTGAATGTCCCGCTCTGATTTGCCCTTCTTGTCTTTCCAGTTTTCAGTCAGAGCCCAGATGCGTGTGGCTGTACCAAAGTAAGACATTCAACTTCTTAGCAATGTCATAAGAATGCCAGTAATGCCCTACTGTTGCTCAAAATACACCACTCCTAACCCCTCAGCTATTGAAATGTTCCTTTCCTTACCTTTTCAGGAGAGATGAGGACACTACCTGCTGGAACAGGTAGAGAACATTGACACTTTGTTGTATTTAGGAGTTGACTCTGTGATTAAAATGAAGCTTAAATAAGCAAAGAATCTGGCACTGTCTGCCTGCAGAGTTGACGTGTGAAGATACAGAGATGACTTTGGTTCTCCCTCTCGACTCCCTGAGTGAAATCAACCTAGAAGAGCTGCAGCTCAACAGCCCCACCTGTCCCGTCAGCTACAACAGCACACACCTGACCGCACGCATCTCTCTGTCTGGCTGTGGCACAGAGACTTTGGTAACATGACCCACCTTTATTTATTTTATATACATGGTACTATGCATTAAAGGTGGGAGATTTGTTCTCTTTTATCGTTTGGGCTCTGTACTCCAGGACACTGAGTGCCATGTAAAACAATGACTTTTATCCAAGACATCACATCCATAAAACTAATTTACTGTAAAAAAAATGCAACAATTTGATGGTACATCGGATCTTTAACTAACAGTTGTTTTCATTGTCAAAATAATCTGCATACTGAGTATTTTCTCAGCTAATTTATTCTTCGTTAATTGTATTCTAATGGCTCTATTCAAACAGGCAATATGCTTGTAGCATTCATGTGTTAATATATTCCTTTTCTCAATTTATTTATTTTTGCCATGGTTGCCCTTCTGTTTATGCTCCGCGGTGGATTTAGCAACAACATGTAGTTCATGTAATTCTCCATGTCCACTTGTTGCTGATGGTTGTGGTATAGGAGCTGTAGATTTTGCACTAACATCTGTAGCATGGTCAGTAGCAGTGACCATGCTACAGCAGTGAGCAGCAGAGGTGGGGAGAGGCGGGGCTATGGCTTCATCGTAATCAGGAAATGATCTTATAGGGCGTACACACTGAGCCGTTTGCCCCCCCAGAGCGTTCCGTCCGCAGATCTACCCACCTTGGGACCCGTTATCGTTTGAGGGGTCCGGTTCCGTTACGGCCTCGTGTGAACGAACGGGCTATACGAAAGAGAAAAGTAGCGGATACAACACGAATGTAAACTCCATGTAAAATGTCTCCATGTAAACAGGGTCTAAGTGATGGTGCATTAGTTTCAAATGGGCTACAACTTTTGTTTTGGTTGCGTATGTTGGGTTAATTGCCAAGGTAAACATATGGATTTAAAGTTTGCGAGATTTCCTGCAGTTTTCATATCAATTGGGAGCTCATTCCACTATTTTTTACCAGGATACAGGCCCGCCCCTCCCTACACGCAGATCACGCAGACTGCGTGGGGCCTCACCTCGCGGAGGGGGCCTCATCTTGCGGAGGGAGCCTCATCTGAAGCACAAAAATGCGGCGCACCTTTAATTAGTGTAACCCCTAGATTCCACCGGGTCCGTCTGCGTTGCGTTACGGCCGCGTTACGGCTGCGCCGCGGCGCGTTCGCAAAGATCGCGGCCACTCTAGTCAATGGGTGCTATTCCACCAGACGCGCCGCGTTACGGCTCAGAAGCATCCCAGAAGCATCTCGGCGCTGGGCTCCGCTCAAAATAGGATTCAAGTCTATTTTTCGACGCGACGCGAGGCGTTGCAGAGGCGCCGGGCAGGAAGTGGACCGGTCAGAGCATCCGGCCCATCCCCAAAATAAACTAATTTTGCACACCCTATCCCGCCGTAGTCTTTCAAGTAGGAGGAGAAATGCCAGCGTTCTCCTCCGGTTTACAGGCACTGTGTAAATTATATATATAGAATAATTATGATGATGGATGCATTTTTTTTACCACTAAAATACAGCAACACATCTTTGATTCATGTCGTTTATAACTGGAATATTACAATTATTATTAACTTTGTCTGTACAAAGTAGCCTGTCCAGGAAATATGCCCAAATCAACAAAAACTGCGAGCCGGCAGGCAAGACGCTCCGGTTCTGAAATGCTTCTGAAATGCTTCTGAAACGCGCCCGGTAGGGTATGACGCAGGAGGAGTCCGGACCAAAACCGCGGCGCAGCCATGACGCGACGCAGACGGACCCGGTGGAATCGAGGGGTAAGCGTGCCACAGTTTCGCCGCTGCGAGGCTCCCCCCTCCGTTGACGCTCGCGACACAGAGGGCCTCATCACAGAACTTTGCGTGGGGCCACAAGTTGGCCAGGGACGGCCCTGCCAGGATATCGAACAGGCGTGTTTTTGTTTACCTGGGTCTCACTCGCGAAAGGAACAGCAAGCCGATTGGCTGATGCAGAGCGCGATGTGCCGTAGTCTATGGGTTGACCATGTCCAAGAAGGACCAGAACCCTTCACAGAACGATAGGCCAGTACCAGTGTCTTGTAGTGGATTTGGGAAGCCATTGACAGGCAGCGACAAGGGAGCGGAGGAGTTGTGTAGTGTGGACAAACTTAGGGAGGTTCAAGACCAGTCGGACTGCTGCTTTCTGGATGATCTGCAGGTAGACCAACCAGGAGGGAGTTCTAGTTATCAAGTGTGAGACGACAAGAGCCTGAACAAAAACCTGTGTTGCCTTCTGGGTCAGTAGGGGATGTATACTTCTGATGGAACAGGTTGAGGCAGCGATGTTAGCGGTGAAGGACCGTTGGCCGTTTAACGAGTTTAGGTTGAGCTTCAAATGGTGGGCAGACATCTACTGAGAAGTGTAAGCCAGACCTGGGTGTCAGACCGGCGAAAAGACAAAAGCAGTTGTGTATCATCACAGCTGTGGTATGAAAAGCTATGAGAGCGATTGACCTGGTCTGTTTTGTCCTGCTGAAAGGACCTTGTTGTGTCTGGTTAAATATGAAAGAGAGCTGAGTGAGAATGAAAGTTGCACATTAAATTGAAAAATATATGAATGTGTCAGTTCTGACTTTTCCTCATCCTCTCCTTTTTTCCAGCATGCTGGTTCAGAGCTGGTTTACACAAACACCTTGCAAAGTGTGCGTCCTTACACTATGGTCAGCCGCCTACCCTCCCTCATCCTCCCGCTGGCCTGCCGGATTCCTAAAAAAGTGAATGTTACGGGGCCAAACTACGAAATGAGCACACCCACAGAAGAGGAGGTTTTCGGTCAGATCAGGGTTTGGATAGAATTGCATTTTCCAGGAGAGGGACCCTGTCAAAATTCACAAGAGTCCCGAGATTTCGCACTCTACGTATGTCGCCGGGACGTCTGCGTCGAGAAGCAGAATACCCATCAGAGAGAAACAGCAACAGCACCTCCACCAGCTCCATTGATAACAGCACCTCCACCAACTCTACTAATAACAGCACCTCCACCAACTCTACTAATAACAGCACCTCCAATGATGACGGCTCATCCACCAGCACTTCTACCGGAGCCATGGGTTCCAGGATCTCCAAGCTGGACCTCCATGTGCTGTCCAATTGCAGCATTAGTCAAGCCGAGATGTTAGTGAGCAATTGTTATGAGTCTGAGACAGAGGACTTTGCAACATCAAGCCCCATTCTGGAGCAAGGGTCAGTGACAACCAGCTTATTTCCTGTTAAGGTTTAAGGTTAGCATGTTGAAGAAGACAGATACTTAATGAAATAAATGGAAGAAATATTAACTCTGTTTTTGCTGCAAAAGTCACTTCTGGATTTGAAGCATATTATTTTAATAGTTATTTCATTTTTTTTCCCCAGGTGTACATCTTCCAGCAGCACATTAGAGATTGTTACATCTCAAACCAATTCCAGGGTTTACCGCCTTGATTTGAGCACAGTGGAAGCCCAAGGAACATCGGTCTGTGCTCTCATCCAACACACACAAACATAAAATACAGTTTTGCATTATTCCTAGCCTGGGAATTGTTTTAAATCTTCAAAGATGAGTTTAGGTAGAAACAGTATATTTTTCATGTAACTTACAGATTTGTGGTGATCATATTATATAGACCTTCATAAGGATGTTGTAAAGGTTGAGCTCCTATTGAGCCATCTGAAAAACAGCTGAAATGAAATTACGTGATTACACTTCTCATTTTAGATTTTTGCCACGCTAGTAATGTTACTCAACTGTCAGTTGGTCTACTGCTTTGGGTCAGAATAAAATAACAACATAAGTTGCCATGACATTTTGAACCGACGTATATACTCCCCCAAGGATGAACTTTAGTGACTTTGGGCTCTTTGTCTTTTCCTTTTCGCCCCCACAAAGTTGACATCTGTGGTTTAGTGTGAGTAGTATTACAATATAATACAATTAATTCAATATCCATTCTTGTTGGGCCATCAGCAGGACAGAAAGCAGTTTGTTCAATAACTTCTTTTGGACCTATGACATACAAAAACAAGAAGGGCACTTGGAGAGAGCAGACAAGGCAATTCCATAAGTTAAAAAGAATGCGTGTATCCCGCCAGTGATTTAAATCACCTCCAAAATAAAACTGGTTCTTCCTCTCCAACTGCTACACCCTCTGGGGAAAATGTATGAACATTGGGCCAGTGGCTTTTCTGTATCCTGCTGACAAACAGAAAAACTAACAAGCTAAACTGAAAACAAATGACATTTTCATCATCAGCTAAATTATTTGTTTATCCTTAATATGCTAATATTAGAGACCATGGTTAAAATGATCAGCATGTTATCTTTGTTTTTGTGAGCATGTTACTGAGAGCACCACTGCTACAGCCACAAAGTTGTTAGTTTCTATTTTGTTTATACTTACACTTTTGAAGTTTCCATTGTTTTCCAAAAAGGGACCAAATGTATTGTTACAACAGGCTCCTGACAACCAGTGATTCATTTCTTATTAATAGTTGAAGTTACATTTTAAAGTTATCTGCATATGTCTGTCTCTCTACACCGCTAACTTGCATCAATTTTTTTTTTGCGTTGCAGATGTACATCCAGTGCACAGTCAATCTGTGCATTGCCACCATGCCCTCTGAAGAATGTCCTGATCTGTGTTCTCGCTCCTTTAATAGCAGATCGGTAGTTAGCAGTTTGTTTACCAAAAGCTACACCATTCAATCATCCCCCATTAGCCTTGTGGTCACGACTGCTGCACCAACCACAACAACCGTCAAGGGTCCTACCACCACTAAAAAGACCACTACTACAACCACTAAAAAGACCACTACAACCACTACAACCACTACTACGACCACTACTGGAACTGTAACAAAAACCACATGCTCACATGGTAAGACGTCATCCTCTTAAACAAGCCACCATGTCTTTATTTCTATTTAGTTGTTTTAATTCATTAAATGAAACACTTATTCAAGTTTGTAAAGTAAAGCAAAACATCTCCCTTCATCTTTAAAGTTTTCTCTAAAGGTTGTTTTATTTTCGAGAAAAGTAATTATGAATACATATTAAGCTGTTTGGGCAACTGCATAGCTGGCTTAAGACATACAAAAAAACTGCTTTGGGCCACAAAGCCACCAAGGGCCCTAAGATGGGTAAATACAAAATAATTATAAGCATTTTATTATTTCCGTGATTCACAATAAGCATTCTTCAGAGCAATTATTTATACATTAATTAAATAATTTATACATACACAGAGGTATGAAGTAATAAAGTACAGTTATTCAAGTACTGTACCTACTGTAAGTACAATTTTGAGGTGCTTGTACTTTACTTGAGTATTTCCATTTTATGCAACTTTTTTACTTCTATTCCACTACAATTCAGAGGTAAATAGTGTACTTTTACTCCACTATATTTATTAGTACCTTTAGTTACTTTACAGATTTTGATTAATAATGTGAAATATAATCAACTCTTAAATCAGACTTTAGTTACACCTGGAGTAAATTCACCAGCTATCCTGCAGCATACAATGTAATTAAAACTAGCTGCACCGTTACCAGCTTTGATAAACACTTTAATGCATCTATAATTATAATCAAAACATATAATATATATTTTAAGTATATTTTTATCCTAATACTTTTGTATTGATCCTAACACTTTTGTTATATTTTGAATGCAGGACTTTTACTTGTAACAGAGTATTCACACTCTGGTACTTCTCCAACCTCTGTACATACATATATGTAGATATATATCGATCGATCAATCAACAACTTTATTAATCCCGCAAGGGGCAATTGGTTATGAGCAGCAGCTTATGTCATGTACACAGGCAGGAACTTACAGGAATAAAACACACAGATACACCCGGGAGCACAGATGTGGATCATTCCAATTTACACGATAAATAGTTCATACTGTAGCATCACAATAATAAATAAATAGTCAAGTTAAAAGCCTTTCAAGAATTTAAAAGTTTGAGTGCAGAAGGGATGAATGATTTTGCAAAGCGATTAGTCTTAAGAGCAGGTAGAGCATATCTACGCCCTGATGGCAACAGACGAAATTCATCTGAAAGAACATGACCTGGAGAGGCCAGAATGCTCTCTGCTTTCCGCAGAATCTGTTGGTTACAAAAGGAGTTTAAGTCTCTCTGTTTCACGCCGATGACCTTAGAGCAGGTTTTAACAATGTTGTTCAGGCTGTTCCTGTCTTTCAGTGTAAGGCTATGGAACCAGCAGATAAAATAAAAACAAATAAGGCTCTCAATGAATGCTTGGTAAAAACGACAAAGAATGAAAGGCCTGACAGAGAAAGAGTTCAGTTTGCGAAGAAGGTGCATTCTCTGTTGACCCCGCTTCACAATACACTCAGTATTCACATCAAATTTGAGGTGGTCATCGAAAATGGTGCCCAAGTATTTATATGATGTGACAATTTCAACCTTGTCATTGTGTATGATACACTCCTTAAGAACATCCTTGTGACGTCTAAAATCAATTATCAATTCCTGGGTTTTAGAGACATTTAAATCCAGAAAACTGTCATCACACCAGGAAATGAAATCAGTAAGAGCACACTTGTGGCCTGATTCTGAACCGCTAAGGAGGGACAAGAGGGCGGTATCATCAGAGAATTTAACTAGGTAGCTGTTGTCTTGCATGCTCCTGCATTTATCAGTGTACATTATAAAAAGTAGGGGAGAAAGAACGCATTCTTGAGGCGAGCCTGTGGAAGTGATGACAGAGTCAGAGAGGCGTCCATTGACAGAGACCTTCTGCTCTCTATTAGTTAGAAAGTTTAAAATCCATAAAATAAGTTGATCGGGCAGTTTAAAATGACATAATAGGCTCTCTACCAGGAGATGTGGCTGCATTGTGTTAAATGCTGAAGAAAAGTCAGCAAATAAAAGCCTAGCATGGGCTTGTGGCTTTTCAAGGTGTTTGTGGAGGTTGTGCAGTATAAAAAGCTTTGCATCCTCTACGCCTCTCCCTGCCTGATACGCAAATTGTAGTGGATCAAGGTCACCACCTACTAATGACATGACAAGGCCTTTAACAATTTTCTCAAACATTTTCATTACCAATGACGTTAAAGCCACCGGTCTGAAGTCATTTAGGACTTTAGGATGAGGTTTCTTAGGGATGGGAATTACAGTTGAGGATTTCCACATATCAGGAATTTGGCTATTCTCAAGTGACAATTGGAAGATATGGTGGAAAACACCACAAAGTTCGCTAGCACAATACTGGAGTGTACGCCCACAAATATGGTCTGGACCTGGGGCCTTCCTAATATTGACTAGTTTTAAGAGATTCCTAACATCATCCTGTTCAATTACTATGTCGGAGATAGGGGAGAGAGACTCTAAGAGTTGAGGTGTTTATGGAGAAATTATTTTTCTCGAATCGAGAATAAAAAATGTTAAAAGCATTGGGCAGGTATAACTTTGATGATAAAAATGCACACACACACACAAATTGTAAATGTGTAACCTCTCCTCTCTTGTCTTGCAGCTCCAGAACAGGCCTCAGCTTTGGCAGCAGGAGTCATTTTAACAACTATGAGCATATTCCTTCAAAATATCTTCCTTTACTGAACATGCTGCTGGGTGATAATCTGTCATAATATGAAGTATATAGAACAACACGTGTTGTCTATACTGTACACCAGACTACTGTATGTTATCCTAATCCTAATTTTCTGAGCTTTTATTGGCCACTGTTGCTCACTAATCACAAACATTTTAGAAAAACATTTACTAAAACTCTAATAAAATCAGACACTTGGACCTGAGATTAAGATCCAAAATTGTGCATTTTGTCATAGTCCTAACAAATGTTTGAGACTCCAAATGTGTGCTTACTGTTGTGTGATGTGCACCCCTATTTAACTTCAAAAAGAAAAATATCTTTTTTTTTCTATAATTAATTGTTGGTTCTGTATTAAACTGAGATTCATATTTTATGTTTTTCTTTTGTGGCAAAGCTGTCCAGTCTTGTGGTCAGTTAGACATCCAGGAATGTTGCAGCAAACAGTAAAAGGAACTAGTTAGAACAAAACAATAGTATTTTTGGAGCACATAGTATGTAACCATATTTTTATACTTTATTATATTAGCTGCAACAAGCAGCTATCTCGCTCTGTGTTTTTGTTGGCTGACAATAACATCCCCATGGTACCATAGGAGGCTGACATTTGGTATGGAGAAAGGGTTACAATGACACTAAATCTCAGTTTCAGTGGAAAACACTGATTATGAGACTGGTGCTGAAACTCTATGACAAACTGTATTCAACAGAGAACTGTGCTTATTCTACTGTAAGTGTTACAATTATGACAGGTTTCAGGATTAATATAACTGTGATATTTATTTTTTAAATTATATCATGTTAATGATACACATATAACTAGATTGTGTAATTAAACCAGCGCCTCTTAAATCTTTTCTGTTTTTGTTCCTTACAGTACCGTTTTTGTTCCCCCTACCACAACGCCCGACGCACAAATGAGTGTTATACATTTGACATAAAAGAACAAAATGCACAATAAACTAATATACAGATGAATTTCACCGATAGCATTATTATTATTTTCAAATGTTTTATTGATGTTGAGATAATATCATGGCCAGGACAATCGTCTATTGTGAATCTGATATCAATGCCTATATATTTATGATATAATATAGTATGTTACACTTTAGAGAGAAAAATGAATAGAAGGAAAATTGAAATATGGTTTTCTTGTTATATTACTGAATTAAAAATAATGTATCTTTACGGAGTAGCTAATTATTTTAATGCAATACATATCAGCTTGATCAAAGAGGAGCAGAGGTGCAGTGTTGCTTCATCAAAATCAGATTAAAGGCTTCATGCAGTGAGCCACAGTGAGGAGCTTTCACAGCAACACCACTGGCTTTCATGATGAGGCATTACAGACACATCTCAACAGGGCAGTTGGGATATCCAGGTAGCAAGAAGTAAATTCTAATTTGAGCACCTAAATTCATTCTTGGCCTTTGGGATCAAGTTATGTGCAATGAAACAATCTAAGCTTAAAGATCAACTTTCTAGCTTTTTTTTAGCTTTTAACCACATCTCACAATATTTTAAAGCAAATGTGAGGAGCAGCCCATTGACTAAGTCGACAATAAGATGTTGAAAGTTGAACATTGAGCATTAGCAAACTGCACTCTCAGAACTGCATGTAGGCCTACGCTATACCGAAATAGCTGTATGCAATTCAGAGAAAATGTGGGATGTGCTTCAACTGATAGACCTGCTGCATGTGTTAATGCAAATGATGGTGGCAGTCAAAAGCCAAAAAGTAAAGACAGCCCAACCAACTATTTATGGTGACATTCCAATCAACCAAATCTATGACTTTACATGTTTAAAATCGTACAACAATTTTTTCTTGGGTTGCACATTAACACGAGCCTCACCAAACCCAAAGGAAAGTAGCCTACATTACTGGGTGCCTGGTATGCTATTTTGTAAGGGGTCCTTGGCTGTAAAAAAAAAAGGAAAAGAAAAGAAAACCTCTGCTTTAGTTCATAATGCATCTTTAGTGATGTTGACCATTGCAAATCCACATTTGTGAAAATAAGTAAACATCGACCTATGTACAAGACGGGCAACATGGAGGCTGTGGTGCAGATAATCCTGCATTAGGCATGACCATAAACTAAACCAGACGCCTTTAACCGAAGATACTGGCTCACTGCCCTTACTGTATTTGTTTTCATTCTGTGGATGTGACCAATCCCAGTTTAGACTGGGAGGAGACTAGCCCGCCTTCATGTTGGACACGCCTCTATGTTCAGGGAACACCGCTTCATACATACACTGTTGTTAGCGACGTAGCCTCTCCGGCCAATTTCTTTTTTGACATTTCTATTTGCGACCACTTCTAATAACTTCACTTTTTGTTACGGCCAGCTGAATGCACGAGTAGTGGTTCACTGGGTCAAAGTGTTGCTGGTGGCAGTCCTGCGAGGTAAGTTGAACTAGTGTTAGCTCGTTAGCCGAGCATACCTTGTACTGATGGGGGGTTGGTTGTTGTGCTAACGTAGCATTTTGTTAGCTTATATATAACCTTGCCGAACAGACAAGATAGTGATCTAACACTCACCACTGTTCTGTGATGATTTAGTATTTTGTTTTATTTTCGTCTTCCAACCAAATAAAATGTGGAGTTTTGAGTAGCAGCAACATTAGCGTGCAGCGCCGATAAGTTAGTCAAGCTAGTCCAGGCTAAGAGCGGCGACCATGAATTAGCTGACATGCTAGCGCCGAGCAGACTGATCTGACAACATGCATTTTGTTGTTAGTTCCTCCTTGCTATATATTTTGTACTGCCTGGTTGGAGGTTTAAAATAAAGAATCGTTCCTGGCGGACAAGCCGCGTGTATGACAACTAAGTGTTTTTCTGTCAAACTTCTCGCATAACTTGCCGTTAATGCGACGTTAACGCTATGTAGATGCTAGTGCTAGCTAGCTAGCGTTCTTCCCCACATCTAGCATTGCCATAATTAATTACTCACTAAGTGAATTTATTTTACTACCCTGGTTAAACGGTAGCCCATACGTTATACACTTATCAACCAGCTGTGTTGTCGCGCTGTCAGCTGCAATGAAGCGTGGCTGCTTTCTTTTCGTTATATCTGGTTAGCCAACACGCTCAGCTCATTTGGATTTTTTATAGTTAGTCCCATTTTACTGAGGACGGTCAGCGATGACCCGAGTGACACACCACCACTCGCTGTTTGTTTCCGCGAAATAGCCTTTAATTTGCAGATAGTTTAGGTTAGCTCGCTTGCCACATAACTTTGAGATCGCTCTGAAGCCAACGTCAGACAAGCGAAAGCGGTCAGCTGCACCGAAAACGGATGGCGTTAAGCTCGGTGTTTGTCAGAGAGGGGGAGGGGATGAGGCAGGGCTACAGCGAGCGAGAGAGACAGCGCCTACATGCCTGTAAAGTGTTGGCTGACAGCTAAATGTTAGCTTTTTTTGTCGCGCCAGTCGACAAATTTCGCCATATTTTACTGTCTGTCGTATTTGCTTCGCGTTTCGGCAAAGAAAATGTGAAGCTGGATATGCGACAGACTCGATCTCGGCGACTGAAGACCGAACGCTCAGACACCGTGTTTTCCGAAACTGGTGGTGCAGAGCAGTGAGGCACAATGTCGGCTCTCCGCTGACCGACTGCAATGACGTTTACTTAGGGAACGTCAATAAATTAATTTTCTCACGGTGCATGTAGCCTGCTATGAGCCACATAGAAAGATTTCATTTTATTTTAATACTTCGTACTCTGAACCTTTGCCCATGGGATCATTTTGTAAATGTCAGCGATCACTTCTTTAAAAATGCAGAGCTCCTTACATTTTAACGTTTTGTTTTATTTTGCTTATTGTAACACTACACTAAACCTAATTCCCTGTATGTGGAAACATACTTGGACATTCTGATAGACCAGGGCTAAACATATTTGTGTAACTATGCAATCATCATGATCTGAAGAGTTCAAAAGTCTGATGGTGTTCTAATTGATAATGGAAATAAATTGACATTTGTACTTTACATTTAATAGACTGCCAAAAGTCATTCTCAAATTAGACTTATAGAGCATGTGTTTATAATGAACACAGTATCACTATGGTCAGTTTTAACTGCTACATAATTTTGTTTAACTGACCCTTTGTGTCACATTTGACAAAAAGGCTACATTGAATTTGTTAGCAGGACAAAGAAACCCTCCACACTTAAAGCAATTACTTGAAAGACAGTCCCTAACTGGTTGTCTCAGCCATTCTGGTGAGCAATGATGGACCGGACACTCATTGCTGGTTTGTTTCCCCCAGATTTTTTGATTTGTTTGTGATTTTTTTAGATTTTTTCAGGATTTGTCATAAAATTGAGAACTAGGTCAAATGTAATTGTTCTTCATCCAACCTTTTTAAAGTGTAAACTTCAATAAAGGTTTGAAATAAACATTCTTCAGATTTTAAATGGGACTGTGGTGGCTGCCGCATTTACTTGATAAGCTGAATTTGTCAAACCTCACTGTGTACACGGACTAGACCTTTCACAATTTTCCAACACACAACTTTAACAAGAATTCTTATAATTATGATAATAGACATCATTTGGAATTGAAGAACCGTACTCTTAAAATATAAATAGCTCACTTCTTTGCATTCATATTGGTTTGTAAAAGAATGACTGAGTTGACTGCACATTCTTGAAGAATGCTTTGAAATGTGGTTGTTCAGAATAATTTAAACTCAACAACCTGTTAACTGTCAATATATCTTTGTCCAATGTAGCCCCTTTGAGTATGCGTATACAATGAAGAGGCGTGTGGAGGACCAGGAACCGATATTTGCGCCCCAGCAACAGCAAGTACGTCGTCCGCAAGTTCAAGGCATTGCAGACAGCTTCCAGCACCGGGCCCTCGCCCCGGCCCCTACTGTGATAGAGGCATCTGCAGACAACATGCAGCCATCCACTGGCATCCAGTACTCTCTCCCCCAAGGCTACCAGGTATAACTGCATCAAACAATTTGTCATAGATAACAGCCTCCACAGCCGAATTTAATGATTTATAAAAATGTAGGAACGTTGTAAAAAGAGTCCTTTATTCAGTGTAACATTCAGAACAATTTTAGCAAACTAATGAAAATATAGATACAGGGTTTCCCACACATAGACTTTACGTGGGCGGGCCGCCCAGGTATATTAACGTCCGCCAAAGTATATTTGCGACCCATTTAGGTTTAATTTGTTTGTATCCGTCCGCGAGCACGATGCCATCTGCAATCGATTAACTAGTGGACAATGATCCCTCGCTCTACCCCTCCTGTACCGTTCTCGGCTACCACCACAAGTATATTTCAGATCTGTGGGAAACACTGAGATATATATTTTAAAGCTTATTGATCCTAATATTCTGGTAATTTCCTCCTTTAAAAAGGTGCCAGCATTGCCTCAGAGCACAGGTGGACATGGACACGGACATGGACATAACAACACTGCCCCTCATGTTGGTCCCCATGCACACAGCCTGGCAGTTCAGTCCCAGGGACCCACAGTGGTCCAGGGTCACGTTCATCCACCTGCACCCATGACTTCTACCCAAGGACAGCAGTTTCAGCGACTAAAGGTATGGCTACATGGACAAACTATTTTTTTATTAAACTTAACCTCCCAAGAAAACTAATAAGCACCCATCTTTGCAATGTGTTTTGATATGTGATAATGAAATCAGCAATTAAACATGTCTCTTAGGCAAAGCCCTTTTTTCTGGTTGTAATTTCGTTTTTTATTCTGCATTCAGTGGTTGTAATATTTAAAGGTATCTGTCAAACGTTTTCCCTCTTCACTTTGTAGGTGGAAGATGCCTTGTCCTATCTGGATCAAGTGAAGCTGCAGTTTGGGAATCAGCCACAAGTTTACAATGATTTTCTTGATATTATGAAAGAGTTCAAGTCACAGAGGTGAGTTCTTGTTTATTAATTTTCATCAACATTTAAAGAAAATAGTATTTAATATTTATATTACTATC